GAACTTAATCGTAACAAGACTCGATTCTGTGCGATATCAATAACCCTATTCAAACCGCCAGAAGCACGCTTTGTCTTCTCGCCGCAAGCATGTCGCAGGCCACACCCCCAGCTGCACCGGACGATTCTGTTGCTACACACCCGCACAAAGATGATCCATAAGCGTGAAACATACTCTATCAATTTTTGCCAACGCTACCAAGTTGTCATCCGGTTTCACTTCTATTTCCTCCTTCTCTTCTTCATCACTATCAACGTGAAGCGTTACGTATGGATCATCAACATTCGACGCATACATCGCAATTCCTCGCATTCTGTGTGTAGCAAACGATGTTGAGCAATTACTGTCACACAAGAATACATAGTAAGAATGAGAGGACAACTCATACTTCTTTCATGAACAGCATACAGCAGAAAATCACAGCAGTAGACAGGAAATAATTGATTCATGGAAATTCTCATACCCGCTTTCAGGCTTTGGCTCCTCGTCATCCTTCTTCGCGGGCATCTCTGAATCTTCGCAAGCACTTGTTTCCTCGTTTGGTGCAGATCCTCGAATACCTTGTTCACGCTGAAATGGTCGACATCAATAGTTGCGATTTCGCATTGGAATTGACGTATGGAGAACAAACTTCAGCTTTCAAGACATTTCATGTAAACATATGTAAAGAAAAGCGATTCAAATCAACCTCGAGGGTGTGGCTTTCTGTAAACTCCTGTGTATGCACGACATGATACGAGTTTCATTTCCAAACGACTTTTTGCCCACATTCGTCCTCACACCCAGGAGCTGTTCCCGCCCAGGCACAGGCAGATATTCTCATCCTTTTGGTTCACAGTTCTTGTTTCGTACCTTTACATACAACATGACGCCCATCTTAAGAAAGCAAAGAAAAGGTTGCCTGGTATTGAAGCTCGTACTAGTTGGTACTTTTATGAGGATATATAGGTTTCCAAAAGATAACCCAGGGAAAAGCTCAGCTCCTTTAATAGTGTGCTTCGATGCTCGGTTTGCGAATTATATAAAGTCCACAAACCTTGGGTTCTTCCGTGTTATCGTCATCGCTCTCCATATCGGACGTGTCAGGGACACTTCCTAAATGCACCACTTTGAAAAGAAGCCCATCTAGGGTTCACGGAAGTTCATGAATTTTCTGTTCTTCATCGAAGCGTCTTACAGAATGGATGCATTGTGAGGTCATTTTGTTGAATTTTTTCTGAATCAGTAAAACCACGAAAGTGCGCAGCTAAGGAGCATGAGGCTATCACGCAATAAAAAAGGCTTCAGATTCATAAAGGGAGTTCCGAACAGCAGCAGTAACTGGATAGCCTTAACGCGTAGAAGCAAAGATGCTGGCTAAGCACCATCTATTCCTAGACTCAAGTTTTACTAGAGTGCAAGTTTTCCAACTAAATACAGTGCTGAAGCGTAACGATTTCACGAACTGTTCGCCCATTCGCCGATCGGTTAAAGTCCATCGCTCTTTTTGCAGCGATAATAACAAGAAATGTCATCTTTGCCAAGAAGCCACGCGATGGACCGAAGAACTACAAGAACATTTCCACGTATTACTCTCACAGACGCCGAATCCATTCAAAAACCGCTGCTTCACCCATGAACACTGCGCGAGGGAAAAAACAAACCGCATGGTGCGTACGGCCTGGCTAGCTCTAAACCTCTACCGTAAGCCACTTTTTGTTGCTTTCGATCCACTTTCCACACTTACAGTTAACTAACTGCTTTTTTGGATTCTTCCCGGACCCCTTGCCGCCTTGTCTTTTCGTTTTGTTGATTTTGTCGGCGGCCTGGCAGGAACTAAAGAGCTACTTTTCCAAAACTGATTACCTGGAGGATATGCACAGGTAAGATTCAATCGGCCATTTGTACACTCCTTCAAGTGCAATCACTCATTCTTCTGTTTTTTTTTGCGATTTTGTTCAAAATATTTCACTAACAGTCCATATAGAAATAACACGAAAATGCGAAGAGAACAGAAAAAAAGCCAAAAAAGACAAATGTGAGTCCTCGACAAAATAGCCTACGCCGCGAATGTGTCAGTTTTCCGCATGACGATCAACTGTCAGCTGTACCTTAGACAGCGTTGTGTTTCATTTTAGCGACTGGTTTAAGCACGACTGTTGGATGGAGAGAAAATAAATAAGCAAACAAAGCAACCAACCCATGATAAGCTGCTTCATCTGTTCATCGTCCAGCTTTATTTTGTCAGGCATTTTCTTTGGCACTCCTCGTTGGATCCAAGCAATATCAGAGATCATAACCACTCCATCCATCTTCCTAGAAACCACATTTATCGGAAATTAATTACAATATAAGTAACCACATCGAATATTTTTAACACGTATTCGAGTTTGAAAGATACATCTTCGAAAGCAGTCTTTTGGAGTCTTCTCCAGGAACAATATGTACATCTATAGACGAAATCGGAACGAGATCTGAGCATGGAGCTCCAAAACAAGAGAGTAAGTCGGAAATATCGTTATGACGAAGCCACTTTGCCAGAGTGCTTTTAGGGATTTTGAGACCAGGGGACTTATAAGAGGTTGTGATTATGCTTAGAGCTCGAAGCCGAAGTATGAGAACCGCCTCGACGGCAGCAACAGCTATGGCATCGCTTGGCAATTCCGATAGACGTCGGAAGAATCTGATGTAATTGTTGCTGCGAAAAGCTATGATGATATCACGAAGAATGGCAAAAGTATCGCAATCCAAATAGCTCTTCCATGAGTAAAGATCCAGCAAGGCTCTTGAACTTGGGATTCCATGAAGAATATAGGCGCATAGGATTTGACTGCTCCCAAAATCTTGTGGAAGAACCGCCATGGCTTCTTCCCATCGTGAAAGACATTCTTCCATCTGGGTGGTATGGAGTTTCCAGTCGTACACATCGCACTTTCGAGTTCGACATATGTAGTTTGTTTCTAGATAAAAAGGAATCATCGCTTCGAGAATGTGCAAAGTTTCTTGAGCAGTGACATCTTGAAGAATCATGTCCTGACGAACAGCTCGAAAACGATCGCATACAAACGAGTAAACTAAATTGAATTGCTTGGTCTTTCCATTTTCGTAGAGTTTCAACAAGTACCGGACAGTTGAAAGGAGTACTTTAGGAGGTCGAAGGATGTCCGGATGCAAATGATCAGAGCCGGCTGCTGGTCGCGTGTACTCCTTCACCATTTTGTTTCGGATGTCTCTTGAACTTTCGGAAGTGCCTTCCTCCAACTTCTCCAACGCGTGAACCATGTTGTTAGCGAGACGAAATCGAATCTCAGCATCTGGACACATTGTCATACATTTACCCACAACAGCATTCTTGCGGGAAGAGGAGCACATTGCTCGAAAAAAGGCGACAAAAATAACCACATCACAAGCCTCGACAGAATCCACGACGGGCACAACCGTCAAATGAAGTGTCGCGTCCGCACTTCACCACGTAACCGCAATCTGCAGCCACCGTAGGTGGGGTATTGTTTCCGCCGTTCGGTTGCTGCTGGCGAAAGGGAAAATGAAGAATTAGTCATTATAGGTGTTACAGGTCCTCACATGGGTCACACAACTTCCACATTAACTTGCTGCGATGTAATACATGCGTTTGAGGACTCGTGGTGTTCAGCGCTAAAGAATGTCCGTTCAGGAAGTTACATAAACAAAGACTTCGTGGGTCCTCAAAAGTGTGGATGAAGGTAAATCCGACGGATGTCTCAACATGGTAAAGATGGTTGTGAAGCGCTTCCTAAACGAGGTATAGATAAATAAAGTCCGGTCCAATTGGCAACCACCCTTGCCAGGGCACGTGGTGCGTTGGAGATCTAAAGGGAGGGTCGTCATATTTGTCGCTGGAGGAGGAAGTCGTCATTGCCTCTGAGAAGATACTCTCTGTTGTTAACCTCTGTCGGGTTTTCC